AAGGTTATAAAAGGCTATATACAACAAAATCTAATGTACTATAAGGGAAATGTTATTGAGGAGTGTGAACAAGGGGAAGAAGAGTCACATACATATGATGGAATTCTGAAGATCATTAAGACTGGGGAACTCTACACTTTAAGATATTTTTCAGGCGGACATGGCAAGGGGAAACTTGTCATGGGCTTTCTATGCTATAAGTGTAGAGTACGAGAAATGAGATTGAGGTTGACAATTGTGTGAGCTCAGGACTGAGGTAAATATAAAACTACATACAATGTTAGAACCTCGGCGAACAGAGCGGGGGGAAATTTGCCCTGGGCCAATCTAACTTATCTATGTAGTTACTTGTGTAGCGAGTCCGAGGGGAAAGTCCCGTGTGTAGGTGAGGAAGTCGAATGGACTTATATTTAATTTTCGAAGCTAAAATAGTTCTAGGTGCAAAGGTAGAATATAGGCGGACAGAGCGAGGGGAAACTTGCTTTGGGCCACTCTACCTTAATTATTTAGATACTACTGGGTTCGTAAAGTCTTGTTGTCAGGTTAGTAATTGGTAAAGATTTCAGGGGATAAGCGGTTCAAATATCTTTGATCATCTTGATTGTAAGTGTAGTCATGTTGCTTTCGTGAGTTAATAGCCGTTTTAGTATGGATTAGAGTGTGATTGAAGTGTTTATATGGGAAATTGAAGGTATTTTTGGTTGGCCTCGATCATTTACGGGCGGTGAAATAAATTGTTCGTTTTCCGTATAGTGTTTTAATTTGTTGACATGATTTGTATCTGTCTCACGACTTAGAGGTCGGTTGGAGCGGTTGATCCGTACGATTTGAGGGGCAATTATCTCCAGTATTTCATAAGGTCCTGAGAAGAAAGGTGCCAGTTTACCGGTGTCTGGATGGTGGTATGTTTGTGACAAAACGAGATCGCCTACTTCAAAATCGGAAGCTCTATGTGTTTGGTCGAATCTCGCTTTGTCGCGTAAGTGTCGTTCGTGTGTCCTTTGATAGGCCAATTCTCTGGCGTCGTCGATTTTTGGGTAGTTTTGTACATGCTCGGATAGTTGTAGCGGAAAACTACCTAACAAAAGGTATGACGGTGGAAACCCGGTCACAGAATGTGGGGTATGGTTATAAGCCTGAAGGACCTGAGGTAGTAGTTTGGTCCAGGCCGTCTTAGGTTGTTGGAGGCGCAACAGTTTAAGTTTGCCAGTAATCGTGGCGTTTAGTCGTTCACTTAATCCGTTGGCCTGAGGGTTGTTGCTTGTCGTGAGAAGTTGGCCAATGTTATGTCTAATCAAAAATCTACGAAATTTCGGAGAGGTGAAGGCAGGAGCTCTATCCGTCAAAAGTCGTTTAGGAGAACCAAACTGCATCACCTTTTTAATAACTAGGGTATAGGTGAGAATGCTGGTGGACCGCGATGGAAATGCCCACGCGTACCGTGTGGCATGGTCCACTACGACATGTAAGAAGGTCTGAGAATTTCCATATTTCGCGAATCCAGAAATAGTATCTAGTGACACTAGTTCGTACGGCAGGACCGCTGGGGGGAGTTGCCCCAATTCTCCGTAGATAGGTCCTTTTAGTGGTTTGACTAATTGGCATACTGAACAGGTTCTTACATGTGTCCTGATGTCATTTGTCATGCAGTCCCAATAGTATTGGGCTGCGATCAGTCTGGTCATCTGCGAAATGCCGGGGTGATTGAAATCGCGATGGGCTCGTTGTAGTAGGGTGCCACGGAGTGATGGTGGAACAATTATTTTAGTGACACCCCATCGTGTGATGGTCATAAGGTCCTTGTCATTGAGGATATACCTTGTGTCCCTCCGTAATTCGTCCTGATGATATTTTATTTGACCTGTGGATAGGAATCCGCAGAAAGGGTTACGGGAGAGTAGGTCCGCCTCGTACTGACGCGAGCCCTTGAGGTATTTGACCTCATAGTCGTAAGCTGAGAGTCGAAGGCTCCAATGAAAGAGGCGTCCGGTGGGGTCTTTTATGGTCTTTAGCCATTGTAAGGCGTGATGATCCGAGTAGATGACAAACTTTGTACCAAGGAGGTACACTCGGAATTTGTCAACGCACTCTACAATGGCTAAGCACTCCAGTTCAGATATAGCGTAATTACGCTCATAGGAACGCAACGCGCGACTGTAATATTGTACAGGGTAGATGTTACCGTCAGGATGTACTTGTTTGAGTACACCTGCGATGCCCTGCGTGGAAGCGTCGCAATAGACCTGGCATGGGAGCCCTTCTTGAAATATATGTAACACAGGTTGTGTTGCGAGGTGTTGCTTCAATTTATCAAAGGCTTGTTGACAATTCGGGCTCCAAAGCCATTTGGCTTCTTTTTTAGTAATTGATTTAAGGGGTGGCGAAGTCTAGCATATTCTGGGATGAATTTATGATATACGTTGACGGCTCCTAAAAATGATTGTAGGGTTCTAATGTTGATAGGGGTTCTAATAGCGTTGATGATTTCGGTATTTTTAATATTAGGTGTGTAAGTCCCTGCGGTGATGTGGTAGCCGAGAAAATCTATTTCATTTTGATAAAAATTACATTTTTTAAGGTTAAGTTGGAGATTTTCCTCTAAACAGAATTTAAAGAAAAGTCTAAGGTGCGTAAGGTGTTGTTCTGAGGAGTCAGAAAAAATAACGAAGTCGTCATAATAATGGGCTATGAAAGAGAGGTGGTGTTTGTGGATCAACTGGGTAATCACACGTTCGAAAATTTGGGGTGCTGATTTGAATCCAAAGGGTAAGCGTTTGAAATTATATTGCCCTTGTTGAGTCACGAAAGAGAGTAGTGGTTGACTCTCCTCCGCGATGGGGATTTGATAGTATGCATTGCTTATGTCAACGGTGCTAAATACTCTGGCTTTCGACAGGCTATCCAGTACCGTTTCTATCAATGGCAAAGGATGCAAATCCGAGGGTACTAGTTCGTTCACGCGACGGAAGTCAATGCAGAGACGCATGGTGTTATTGCGTTTGCGAACGAGTGTCACAGGAGAGGAATATGGGCTAGAGGAGGGGGTGATTATGTCATGTTTTAGAAGTTGATATATCTGGTCCTGAATTTCCTTCTGGTAGGCATAGGGAATTCGGTATGGTCGGAGGGAAATAACCTTATCGGAAATAATTTTGAGTTTTACAGGGGTTATGTTGAGTGGTAATACATTGAATTTATTGATAGAGAAAATATCTTTAAAAGAATACAATAATTGCTGATAAGGGATAGGCAGTTCTGGGCGTTGTTCGATAAATTCTTTAATCATTAATTCTCTAGAGGCGCATGGGCTGGTAGGAAGGCTATTAAGGTTGTAAAGGTGAGAGGGGCATTCAGGGGAAGGTTGATAAATATTGCTAAGGGTTGTTTGTAAGTAAGGCTCACGTGGAGGTTGAAAATCGTCAACGCCTAAGTTAACCGAGTGAATTATGGGTCGTTTAGGGTTAGAAGTTATTATTCGCGAGCCATGCTTACAAGTGGGAAGGTCACATACAAAATGGTACAAATGTTTAGGTACTGGAACACTATTTTGAAGTATCAATTGATTATGAAAATCTATTGTTAATCTTAAGAATTGCATAACATGAATAAATAGGATACCATGTTCAAGGGGTGAATTTAAAATATAAAATGTTTCATTAAAATTAAAATTATTAAATTGTATTGGTAAGATAACTAATCCGATTGGTTTGGCATGACTAGATATAGTAGGGATAATAACATCATTGTTAATAGGGGTGGAACAAATGAAAGTATTAACATTTTTAATATATTCAAATTGGTTTAAACTAATTATGGAAACATTGGCTCCAGAGTCAATTAGGAATGGCATCTTTAAAGAATGAATGATAGGGGTTAAAATAATTGTGCACTTACAGGCGTATGCTGGTTTAGGGTGCAGGTAGGTTCATTGAGCTTCGGGGGAGTTCTGCTGCCGAAGCTGGCATTACTTGGTTTCTCCCGAGCTCGTTGTTGCTGCGGTCTCGTAGACACCTGCAGGCCCAGTCTTTGGGGTTGCTCGACGCTGTGGACCGCAGGTGTAAAGGTCCGAAAAGTCCGCTGGTAGGGCCCTCGCTGCTGACACTATGCGTGCCAGTGTTGTCCGCCACAGTAACGGCAAGGATATGGTGGGGTCTTGTCCACGGTGGTGGAAGGTGCTCTGCTCTGGCGCGGTGATCGTTGTTGGGAAGCTTTAGTGCTGGTGTTATCCCCTTCGTAGGTCAGCTGTTGGGCTAAGCACAACCATTCTTTTGGTCCCGAGGGTTGTGCCATCTTTAAAAGGTTGCCATAGTTACGTGGCACACCGTTGGATAGTGCTTGCACGATGGCACTCTTAGGGAGGTTGATCGCCAATCCTATTCGGACCTTGTTCTTGTAGTAGGTCTCGATCTCGGCCATCGATGTGCATTTAAGTTCATAGAACTCTTGAAGGGTGAAGCTAGGGCGTCGGGGATAGACGGCGCAGAGTGACTCTTTGACCTCTTCATAAGTCTTATTGAGTAGCGCTAAGTCTTGTGCAATTTTGCGAGGTTCGCCTCTGAGTGATGATAGAGCCTTTCGAGCTTGGCGTGCTGGCTCTAAGTTGTGGAAGTTCGGCTGAGACTCAAGTTGTGTGAAGAAGTGTGCGGCAGGTTCATCTCCATCGTAGGTGATTGCTTCTTCAGACTCACGGTTTGAAAGTTGGTCGAGACAGGGGGTGAGAGTTCGAAGGGAAGCGGCTACAGTAGAGTCGGTCGTTGGTTCTTGTGGAACTTGGTTGTGGGTTTGTTCGATCATCGTGGTATTGCTTCTTGTTTTCTTCATATACTCTGGTATATGAGGGATTTGCTTCCCGGTCAGGTCTTATCCTGTCGACTTTCAATGTGACAATATAGTGGTAATAATGTGGTGAGGTGAGAAATAATCACACGACGAGTTGGTAGAGCAATAACCCAGGCAGCCAGCCGAGAGAGAGCGAGCGAGAGATTATCCGCTGAACGACTGCCTGTGTGGCCACCACCTGACTACCAAAATAGTCCCCAGGTGTTGACATGGCATCTGCCCGGTAAGCAGAACACTGTGGGTTCGATTCCCATCCTTGGACACTTTTATTTTTTCGTTTATCTTTACTCTTCACAATTCATCCATTCATACCTCATCCCTATGGTTAGAAATAATCGTTATTTCTCCTTGGAATGAATTTTGATTTTTCGTTGAAAAGAAACTCATGCGGGATAATTTTCAAATGTCGTTTTACAATCACAAGCCGCATTATATTGTATTGTATAAAAATATATGCAAGGTCCTTCATTAGTGGTATCCCCGCGGAAAAGGGAGAGAGACCTTTTTTTATTGACATTTGAAATGATTTTATTGACAATTAGTCAATTTTTATAGAAAATAATGATAATATAAAGTGTAGAAGGGTGATAATGCCCGAATCTAATTAGATAGCAATAAAAATGAAAAGAAACTCACATCTTCAGAAACCTGTTGCCCTATTTAATTCATATACAGGAGAATCACATATATTATATATACTCTTTATAAAAAGTTGAATAAGCATCTGGACTAATGTATTTACAGAAGTATAACAAAATCTTAACATGTATGAGATTAAACTCTTCCCCCATGTAATTTTCTTCTTCTTTTGATAATACACTCTATATATTTCCTGTTTCTAGCATCTTTTGGTTTTCCCTCAAACTACTGTCTTCTTTTGAATGTTTGAAAAAATATCTTAAAATTCATGGAAATAAACAATGGTGTTGATTTTTGTGACTGATCTGAAAGAACACAATTAAAATCAAACGTTTTAAAAAGTTTCAATCCATCTACAACACAAAACTCAAATAAAACTGTATAACACGAATTTTGTTTTTCAGTCCTTACTATCTTTCTGGTGTATTTTGTAAAATAACAAATATAAACATTAAACCTCAGTTTTAAGTCTATGAAATCTATTTATTTGAAAAATGCAAGGACACTATAAAAAGCCTTATAATTATGCTGATGATATAAAAATGAATGATTGAAAATAACTGAAGTCTAAAAATGTGTACACTTGCTCAATCTCGAAGAAATTTTAAGTGTTAAAAAGCTTCAAACTTATAGCTACTCAGGAAGTATGTTTTGTAGAAAAGAGTTTCAGAATTCTGTAATCAATTTTTAATATAATTTTCCCACCGAGAAGCCTAAATATTTACACACTAGCTTAATCCCGATGACAATGTAAGTATAGAAAGCTTCAGATGCCTAGATCGACGTTGAGTATGTTAATATTCATTTCGTGTGATTTTAAATGAATTTTCATCATTATTAGGCCTTTTCTTGTGTCCTTCTTGAATATTTCAAATGAATAGATGTCCTAGACTCAAAGCAGAAGTTTGAATTATATTATTTCTATTTTTCAATTATGTGTCCTAACACCAGACACCGTCACCCCGACACAAAACAAATTTATAAGCCAGAAGATAGAACCAATGTAATTTATAAAATACCATGTAAATTTAGTCAGGAAATATATATTGTCGCGGAGGTAAATAAAGCAAGGGCAAGTTTGGGGATAATTAATTTATTATAAGGGGTATTGATAGGGAGAGAGAAGGTCAATACAACTTACCCCAAGACAGAGTTAATCCTAATGAGGGACCTCAGCTCCCTCCGCCGGCCAGATTCCCCAGAACCCCTCACACCCGGTGTCCAGCGATGATTGACAGACGTCCCATGGGGCCTCTCGTGATTGGAGCCGCTTAGCTTCTTGACATTACTCCCTCCTTAGAAAAAATACAGCGACCCGCTGATTAGCTTGTCTCAGCCCTTGTTCTGGAAGGAAATCTATCACGGCTGGTGTTCCCTAGCAGAATAGAATGTTGTTCTTCAGGGTCCAGGTAGGGCTTCATCCGAATGACATGGACGATATCCTTGGCTTTCCGTGATCGGGGAGAGGGGTTCACGGGCTCTACTTCATACGTAACTTCTGAAAGCTTCTTGGTCACCTTATAGGGACCGAAGTATCTCTTCAGTAGCTTTTCTGATAGTCCTACTTTTCGGATGGGAGTAAAAACCCACACAAGATCATTCTTCTGGTAATAGACTGGAGTATGTTTCTGGTCGTATAGTCTACGGTCTTTCGCCTGTGATTGTAGAAGGCGTGATCGGGAGAGTTGACGCGCTTCCTCAGCTCTGGTCACAAGTTCTCCAACGTAGTCGTTAGAGATCTCATCTGGTAGGTAGGGTAGTACGGCATCGATGTAGGTCTCGGCCTCGCGGGCGTGGACAAGAAAGAACGGGGTGTAGCCGGTCGCCTCCTGTTTAGCAGTGTTGTAAGCAAAAGTTACATAGGGCAAAACTTGGTCCCAGTCCTTCTGCTCAACACCTGTGTACATGGACAACATGTCTCCTAGAGTTTTGTTGAACCTTTCAGTCAGGCCGTTGGTCTGGGGATGGTAGGCCGTTGTAAATCTGTGCACAATTCCACACAGAGCATTGATCTCTTTTATTACTTGAGAAATGAAATTTCTGCCGCGATCTGTTATCATTTCTCTAGAAGCTCCATGCTTCAAGATGACGTCTTCAACCAGGAACTTAGCTGTTTCGATTGCTCCTCCGTCTGGGATCGCTTTCGTTATGGCATACCTTGTCATATAAACGGTGAACACAATGATCCAACGGTTTCCATCTTTAGAAACTGGAAATCTTCCAAGGAGATCAACCCCGACTTTATAGAATGGCTTTTCTACGGGCGGTATGGATACAAGTTGTCCAGCCGGACGTCGAGGTAATTTCTTCCTTCGTTGACACTCCCGACAATGGCTTACATATTGGCGAACAGTTCTATAAAGGCCAGGCCAATAGAATCGTTTTTTGACTTTGTCATACGTCCGGGCGAAACCCAAATGCCCAGCTGTAGGAGCATCATGTAAATCTGCCATAACTTCCGATCTTAAGTGCTTAGGGATCATCATAAGCCAGGGTCTTCCAGTTGTGCTATAGTTTTTCTTGTATAAGATGCCGTCGATAATGCTGAATTCCTTTCTGGTGTAGCCCGAGTTTAAATTATCGATTATTTTAGCTAAATCCGGGTCTTTAGTCTGCTCTATATCGACGTTGGTTAGTGACATCACAGCACTTGGTTGATCGTTCTCAAGCGGGCTCCTTGACAGACAATCGGCATCCTTATGTTTGCGTCCGCTCTTGTAGATAACGGTCACGTCAAATTCTTGCAACTTCAGCGCCCATCTTGCCAAACGGCCAGAAGGATCTTTCTGCCCTACCAACCAACATAGAGAATGATGGTCAGTGACAACCGTGAATGGTCGACCAAACAAATATGGGCGGAATTTGCTAATAGACCAGACTACAGCAAGGCATTCTTTTTCCGTTGTAGAATAGTTATTTTCAGCCTTTGTCAAGCTTCTAGATGCATAAGCTATAGGCCGCTCCTTTCCACCTTGTATTTGTAGAAGAACAGCTCCAATACCATGTCCGCTTGCATCCGTGTGTAGATGGGTATCAGCGGATTCATCAAAGTGTCCTAAGACAGGCTCTGAAATTAGAGCTGTTTTAAGGACTTCAAACGCTTTCTCTTGAGCTGCATCCCAATAAAATTGTTTTTCAGTCTTCAGTACGTCATGCAAAGATCTAGCTTTGTCGGCAAAGTTCTCAATAAATCTTCGGTAATAGGAACATAATCCAAGAAAGCTCTTCAGTTCAGAGATATTTCTTGGCCTCGGAAATTTAGAGACGGCTTCAACTTTATCTGGATCTGGATGAATTCCATTGGCGTCAACAAGGTGTCCCAAAATCTTTATCCTCCTTGATTCAAAAAGACACTTTTTGTGGTTCAAGCTTAGTCCAGCTTTCTGGATGCAGCTTAATACAAGTTGTAGACGACGTAGATGTTCCTCAAAGGTAGGTGCGTAAACTACGATGTCGTCCAGGTAGCAAAGGCACATGTTCCATTTAAGACTGCCCAGAACACTATCTATCATCCTTTCAAACGTTGCTGGAGCGTTGCAAAGACCGAAATGCATTACTTGGAATTCATACAGCCCATCTGGAGTGATGAAAGCAGTTTTCTCCCTGTCTTTTTCGTCCACTTCAATCTGCCAATACCCGGACCGAAGATCCATCGTGGAGAAGTAACTAGAGCCGGCTAAACTGTCCAAGGCATCGTCAATGCGTGGCAGCGGGTAAACATCTTTTTTTGTTATCTTATTTAATCGACGGTAATCTACGCAGAATCTCCAGGTCCCGTCTTTTTTTCGAACTAGAATAACTGGAGATGACCAAGGAATTTCAGAGGGCTTCACGATGTGATTTTCAATCATCTTGTTCACTTCATCTTGAATTAGTCGTCGTTCACTTGGTGCTACTCTATAGGGCCGCTGTTTGATAGGAGACTGGTCGCCTGTGTTTATCTTGTGCTTCACAGTACTGGTGGGCTTAATAGGAGTACTCCCAAAGTCAAATATGCCAATAAACTCGTCAAGGCATGAAACAAGCTGTAACCTTTGAATTTCAGACAGCCCTGGATCTAGAGTAAGGTTTATCTTCTGTGGCCATTCACGTGACTTTAGCTGCGTTTCTTGTAACTTATCGCTGGATTCAATAAGACTGCAGATATTCCCATTCTCATAACTTTCCATGGTGCACATATTCATTCCTGATGGAATCAGTTGCGGCCAAGACGCTCCATTCGCCACCCAAATGCTACCTCGGCCGTGTCGAAATGTAACCAATGAGTTTGGTATAAGAACTTCCTTTCTTAATAATAAGTCCTTAGAAGTTGAGACTAAAACATCTCTAACACCACATATTTCTTCGTTCATCACACTGATCTTCTTTATTGATTTAGGCGGGATGACAAAGTCGTCGGAAGCAAACAATCTCTGGTTTTCCTCCTCTCGAGATTCCAGGACGGAGGTTTCCCCGAGATGGAGTTCATTTCTGCCACAATCAATGACGGCCTCGGTGGCCTTGAAGAAGTCCCATCCAAATATGATGTCATGGCTGCATTCCACCATAACAACGAATTCAAATGAGATATTCAGACCATTAACTTCTATGTTCAGGACACATTTTCCTAGGGTCTCTATTAAAT